GTTCGTGTTGCGCGATGCGTTCTTCTCTTCTTAGCTCGCGCTCCTTCTCGCGTTCCATTTGTTCCATCTCAACACACTCGCGTTCCAGCACTAGACGCCCTTTATCTATTGCAAGACGAGCCATGTCGGCATCGCGCAATGCCATGCCAAAGCTTTCCAGATCGCCCTGGAACGCGCCTCCGGCGCGTTCTACTGACTGTCGGCGCTTCTTTCGAGAGCTCAGTTGTCCTTCTTCTTCTCCGTTAGCCTCTCGGTCTTCTTCTTCGGTTCCTTCCTCGCTGTCGGAGCGCTTACGCGTCAGGGAACGAGGCACGAGGTCCTTTCCAATTCTTACTTTCCTGGCCTCTCTCCCTTCTTGAGCAGCCTCCACCGCCTTCTTCTCCTTTTCCATGTCATTTCGCGCTTCTCCCATCATCCCCAGCAGCTCGTCGAGCTCTCCGATTTCCCCGCCAACCCCCGACAGTCTTCTATCCGCAGCGTCCCGTCGCTCAAAGGCGTCTTGGATTTTCTTGTAGCGGTCCTGGACGCTCTTGGCAGTGACCGTCTGGGACAGTTTCCTGTTCAGGTTTGCCCGCGTCGCCGCCTCGCCGAATCTCTTCTGGATTTCCCCATACCCGGCAACGTATGCCTTAGCGGCAGATACTTCATGTGCGAGTATGAGGTCATCCTCCGGCGTAAACTTTGGTCGCCGGCCTCCTTTTTTGTGGGGGGAGGGATCAAGCGCGCAATTGACATCGCTGCGCTCAGGGGTGGGGGTGTTGGGGATGGTGAGGTCGAGGGTAGGGGAGAGAGGTGGTGAAGAGGGGATAACGTTCGCCATAATGTGAGTAAAGGTGGTTACAACGTCACTCTAGAACTCAGGTCTACATAAAAGGTGATGAAGGTACCCGCCAAATTTATACCACGTCTAACACGTGTGTTCGAAACGGTTACAGAAACGATTTCACTATGCACTCACATTTCACGAATTTTTGTCACATCCGTTTGTGAAATCTGACTAACTGTAATGTTTTTTAGTCATATGTTAGTCATATGTTGCAGAAATGCGCTTGCGTAAACCCTCTATTGTATAAAAATGTGAACTAGAATCTTGTAACCTATGGTTTACTTTGTATGAGCGAGTTTAGGTACACGTTTGCCGCGGAGAGTTCTTTCATCTGTCAAGAATGATGCAGTGGCACACCAGCGCATAAAGTTTACGCCTGTTGTGAAAAGGAAGACGGTTTGGCGCGGCGACACAGCTACGACTTGAGAAAGGAGATTAGCAAAACAGAGACATCAGCGACATCTATGCATCATAGGGGGGTCGGGCCTGCAGCATTTGTGCCTCGATTTCATGTCTCCGCATAGTTGACAAAGGGGGCAAAAGCCCCTTGCGATTGGCGCGCATTGTCTCGAGGAAGGCTGGAAAACAGAGGGGCGGTGTGCAGGGTCTTTTCGGGAGAGCGGGCCGGAGCACAAGAGCACTATGAAACGAGGTTCAGTTGGGGTAGGGAGAGTGGCACGCGCTACTGCTGAGTTGTTTCTAAATCGTGCTAGGGCGCAAGTCTGAAGCTTTTAGGGGGCCGTGCTCTTTTGCTTGAATGTGAGTGGTAGAGATGCTGAATGGGGTGATATTCTGATGTTTCCCACTTCTGAATTATCGCTGAGACATGGGGTTGAAAAATTCGGACCTCCCTCCAGTCACCGCGGTGTTGAAGGTACAGAAAAATCTTTTGCCGACAAGCTTTTCTCGTATCCTGAACATATGAAAACATGCTAATGAAGAAGAATACGACGCAGATCGAATCGCATTATAATAAATACAGGGCGAATTCATGAGAACGACTCCCGAGCGCGCGTGCTGCGAGGGGAATGTGCTGTATGTATTACAGTCATATAAAACACGGTGTGGCGTGGAGTTGTGCGTAATAGATACATAGGAGGGAGCTGTAGGTCGATGGTCAAGGCGGTGAAGGATACCAAAGTTCATGAGGTGGCGGGGCGAGGGGCGAAAGCGGGGAGGGCGGAGTTGATCATGATTGGAAGCCAATGAGAGATCGGGAGATGATTAAAAAATACAAATTTGCGGTCACTTTCCACGAAGGTCCATGTGGCCTCTTCATGTGGCCTCTATTCTCCATCGAGGGAGCCCATCATATCGCACGTCGTTTCGCTTCACGCCTGGAGCCACCAACTGAGCTACGCACTTCATCCCCTTCGTACACACACACTCTCGTCATTTTGCGCCTCGCCACCTCCCCATTACCTTCCGTCCCCCGCCTCCCGCTCATAACCCACACCGTGTCTACCCTGGCCTTGTCCCCTCGTGTCAATTCCTCGCCCCATCTAATTCCGCTCGCCCTTGGTTACTTTTCCGTGCAAGCAAATGACAATTTTCGCGCTTCCATCGTAATCGCACCACACGCTTTCAATAACCGCCACCGCTGAAACTCTCTGTGAGCAATTCTTCTCAAATCCCTCAGGCCGTCTTGCGCTGGCACATTGGCCCTCATCGTCATCCGCGCCGCATCGCATTTCCGAGAGCAAACCTTGAGTTGCGAACGTCAAGATCCCAAGTTCCCCCCGCCCCCACCCCACCGTTCTGGCTTTTCGCAGGCACTTGAAAAGGGCGCGTGCAAGTTTGGCGTCATCCTTTGGCGCCTTCTCCGGATATGTGCGCAGCGCCTTGCTAGCTCACCTTCCTTCCCTTTCTGCTTCCTTGAGTCACCCCGTCTGTCATCATCGCACCGTTGCCTCCGATCGATGGGTTCTGTCAATTCCACTGGAAATAAGTGGGAAAGGACCTTAGCCGCTGATCTCCCGGAAGATGAAAAGTATTTCGGCCTCGAGAACTTTGGGAACACCTGCTACTGCAATTCCGTTCTGCAGGCGCTCTACTTTTGCGAACCGTTTCGAAAAGCTGTCCTCGATTATGCGGGGGAGCGGCGAATATCACAAAGCGTCGCCGTCGAGACCACCGAAGCTGCGTCGTCAGCTAGTGTTCTCACCTCGGGAACCAGCTTTTTATCCTCGACATCGTCAAGCGCGAGCGCTATGAATGGTTCATTGAAAAGCGCAGTCAAAGGTGTGGTTGGATTTGGCTCGGCGAGCGTTTCCACAGGGTTGGGGTCTACGGCTGTCAATGCAAAAGTCAGTGAGGCCGAAAAACCTCCGTTTGCCCACGAGGAAACAATGCTTACTGCTTTGGCCGATTTGTTTACTCAAATAGCGACGCAGAAGAAGCGGACGGGTACCGTTCCACCAAAATCGTTTGTGAGCAAGCTCCGGGAAGAAAACGAGCTGTTTTCGAGCTACATGCATCAAGACGCACACGAATTTCTCAACTTTATCTTAAATAACGTCGTCGAATGCTTGCGACGCGAAGAAGCGGAGAGAATTCGACGAAAGCGGGCCGCTTTAACACGGGAAAGAGTTGAGGGTGAAGGTCTGGATGTCAACGGAAAGGCCCCACCAAACGGTTTACTTTCCAACAGCACTTACGACAAGCTCTCAGGGGATGAAATCTCCAGTAAGACTTTCGTGCATGATTTATTTGAAGGGCAACTCTCAAACGAAGTGAGATGCCTGTGTTGCGAAACGGTCACTCGCAGAGTTGAATCTTTCTTTGATCTCAGCGTTGACGTGGAACAAAATTCATCCCTCACGGCATGCCTGCGCAGTTTTTCATCCACTGAGCTTCTTGAAAAGCAAGACAAATTTTTCTGTGACGCATGTTGCTCGTTGCAAGAAGCAGAAAGACGAATGAGAATCAAAAAGCTGCCGCGTGTGCTTGCGCTACATTTGAAACGATTCAAATATATCGATCAATTGGGCAAGTATAAGAAGCTGAGCTACCGGGTAGTGTTCCCTCTCGAGCTTAGGTTATGTAACACTAGCGATGATGCGGAGGATCCAGACAGGTTGTACTCGCTATTTGCCGTCGTAGTACATGTAGGTTCAGGTCCAAATCAGGGGCATTATGTCTCCTTGATCAAGTCGCACGGTCAATGGCTGATGTTTGACGACGACTGTGTGGAGCCCAAGGACGAAAGCGAGATTCAAAGTGTCTATGGAATAACACAAGACAATGCACAAAGTACTGAAGCTGGATATATTCTTTTCTATGAGCAAAAATCCTAAATGTAAACTGTTTGACGCCTGAGAATTCAACTTGTACAACTGCAGAGGTTGCATCAGGCTGACAGCTCCACGAATGCGCGTGTGACAACCGCTGCCCAACACGTATTGCGACAAAAGATAGCACTTGCTGTTTCAAACCCAACCTTTTTACACAATTCTAACGCCAACTTATCACATGGAGGGAGTCTCATACAAGGACTTCGACTCCGCTTGAACAAATCTACACAATAGTTTCGAGGTTCAATCCCAATCCCTCATCATTCGCCTTCTTCAAGGCGTCTTCACCCCCGACGACAACCACGGTACCTTGTTCGCGTACTGCTTGCAGGGCCTCGCCAAGTTCCCTAAAGTCCTTGACGTTCGCACCAAGAACCTCATCACGCCTCTGCTGGCGTCTCTCATCAGTTTCTCCAAGCAGGAAGCGAAGTGCTGAACCGAATCCCTTGGAGTCTGGCAGTTGGTATGAGTCGAGGGCTCCAATCATTCCAATGATGCTCTTTGTCATATCATCCTCGGACAGATTAATATTCGCCAAAAAGTCGGGCGCCCCGTCGTAGCCCTTCAGGGTGCCTGTGACGTTGGGGTCGCGGTAGGAAAGATACATGAACATCCCTGTCTTCGTATCGAGTCTACAGAAACCACCGTAGGCACCCCCCTGGACTCGAACGGTGTCCCACAAGTAGGAAGTGCCCAAATGCTTTGATGCCAGTGAGTGACCTCCCTTGAGCTTAAAACCAAGGTCGTACAGGTTAGCTGCCTTTCCGACGTAGTTGACAGCTGATGGCACGATCAACCCTTCATTTGCTCGTGGTAGGAGAGTAGGGTTAATAATCCAGCTGGCCTTCTGCCCTGCTGCCTTTTCGGGCAGCCGGTCAAGAAAAGATGCCAGAGAGGGCTTCACTGTGGGGAAGTCACTGCCTGTGGTGGTGATATTGACCATCATTCCTTCACGGGAGACAACAAGCTGTTGGATGGTCCGCAAATCGGCCACAACGGAATCCCAGTTGTTTTCGACACGATCGATGAGCTTGCGTACGGCCTTGAGAAAGTCAACTCCCCCCATTTGCTCGTCGGCCCACATGGTCGTCCTGAACATCGCACCGAGGCGACCGCCAGCGACAGAGTGTCCACTGCCCGCAATACCTGACTCAATGCCGGCGCGTTCCTCGATGAGGAGCTGGCGGACTCGCTCTTTGTTGTTAATGTCAACGTCCATCAATACCTCGCCGATGAGATCAAAGAGGGCGGGGACTTGGGAAACCATTCCCTTTCCACGTACTGTCATTTTCGCGACCGCCGGTCCATTGCCATCGGTAGCCCACATCTGGCTCACCAGCGTCGATGCACGCAGGCCACCTGTCTCCGCACCAATGCTCTGTTGCAGAGAGACAAAGTCTTGCTTGGTAGTTCCAAGCTCAGTAAGAGCACCCGAAAACAAAGACATCAAAGGCAAGAGCTCTGTGGGTACATGAGACATGTCTAGCGTCATGTCAACGTAAACCACACCGCTTGTGTTGAGCGGGTGGTGCAAAATTGTAACCCCCTTGTCGTCATGGCGATCATATGAGACTGTCTTCACCTTCTTGTCAAGATCAGCCTTCGTAAGCGTGGGGATCTTGGCGAGGTCGGCGGGATCGTCGTGGGCAGCCTGCTGGGCCTTGAGACGTTGAGTTTCAGAAATGACTCTTTCGTAGTCGGAATCCGAGAAGCCCGACGTCGCCTTGGTGATACGCTCGGCCTCTGCGGCATCCTCTTTCTTCGAAAATTCGGGATCTGGCTTCAAAACGACGGATGCACGGTGAGGGTTGTCCAAAATGTATTTCGACACGCACTCCTGGAACACGGGCTCGTTCCGCTCCAAGCGACTGCGCAAATTCGCCACGGCAGTCTCAAACTTGAGAGGGAGAAGCGGGTCCGCATCATGTAGCCAGGTGGTCATTGCGCGAAGCATGAGCGAAAGTCCCTTGGGGAAGGATCCAGTGTTGTTCTCGCGCAAGCGGAATTCAATTGTGTTGAGACTGGCATCGATCAGGCCCTTGGGAAATCCATTCTCCTTGACGTCGTTAAATACCTCGAACACAAGCTTCTCCATTTTCTCGACGGAGTCCTCTGTCATGCCCTTGAGTCCAACAGAGAAAGTCATCTGCCTCAGGTCGGTTTCCAACCCGCCGCCGACGACGTCCTCTCCTAGCTGGGAGTCGGTGAGCGCCTTCCGCAAGGGGGAGGCCGACATAGAGAGCAAGATATGGTTGGTGACAGATAGCGTGAGGAGCTCCGCGGGATCGATCTGGTCCACTGGCGGGTTGAGAAGCCAGTTCACTGTGGCCATATACTTCTTGGAGAGGTCCGGGCCGGACCCAGCGTCGTAGGTGAAGTCGAAGGACTTTGGCGCAGACCAAGGCTTCTGTAGGCCGACAGCGGACTTGACCTCGAGGCGGTTGAAGTCCTTCAAAAAGCTGTTTGCCTTGGCCAGCCTCATCTCCTCGGCCTCATCTCCATAAAACCACATGCGGGCATTACTCGGGTGGTAATACTGATCATAAAAGCCCTTAAACTGCTCCCAGGTAAGGTCTGGAATATCCCTAGGATGTCCGCCAGATTCGACGCCGTAGGTGGTGTCGGGGAAGAGCATTCTCTGGGAAAGCTCCGCAAGCACGCGGTCAGAGGAGGAGTAGGCGCCCTTCATCTCGTTGTACACGACACCCTTGATAGAGACGTCGTCTCCCTTTTTGTCGAGCTCGAGATGATGGCCTTCCTGCGCAAGAGTATCCGGGGTAAGGGTGGGATGAAAGACGGCGTCCATATAAACATCAACAAGGTTGTAAAAGTCCCTCTCGTTACAACTGGCAACCGGGTAGCATGTCTTGTCCGGGTAGGTGAAGGCGTTCAAAAAGGTATTGAGCGAACACTTAATGAGCTCGACAAACGGCTCCTTCACTGGGTACTTCTCACTCCCGCACAAGACAGAATGCTCCAGAATATGCGGGACACCCGTCGAGTCGTTGGGCGGCGTTCTCAGCACGACGCCGAACGTCTTATTCTCATCGTCATTCGACACGGACATAAGCTCCGTGCCGGTGCGCTGGTGGACCCAGAGCCTGGTGACGCTGCCAATCTCCTTGACGTACTCCTCGCGGCGCAGGGCGAAGCCGTTGACGACTTCGCCGGTCTTGCGCGGGGTGACGTTTGTCGTGCCCGCGGCAGCGACCATGCTCGGCGCGACGCGCAGCGCGGGCTGTGCGGCGTGCGCGAGAGACGTGGCGCGCCGCGCGGACGGGCGCAACGGCGCC